CTTGTCGACAGTCGAGTCGAGTTGTATTTTTTAGAATGTTTCGTGACTCGTAACTAGTGTAGACGCCATTATTGTGTATAACCTAATTAAGTTGGTGAGTTTTTATATTTTTTAATTCTTATTGTGTTTGCTTATTTAAAATGTCAACCCCAATGCGAAGAAAGGTTCATAAATGTGCATCACCAAGGTGCAATAGCTTGTTTTTTTACTTCTTCGGATAAAAATCTTCAAAAGCATTTTTTTAAATTTCCATTCGATATTGTACGGAAAAAAGGTGGTTCGATATTTTAGGTTTGTCCCATACATCCAAACAGCTGAGACTTTCTGAAGTACATTTTCAATTGGCTTTTCCTTTAGCACCCGAAACACATTTCTCACATTTCTCTCACATTTCTCTCACATTTCTCTCACATTTCTCTCTTCCCTGAATTCGATGCTGCTGATATTTTTTTTTGTTTTAGATTACATGCAATATAAGAAGCTGTAGGCCCTGAGAGCTGAAGATCCGACCAACTGTCTTGTTGTACAATTAGATTTTTTAATAACCACAATTTTACTAAAACAATTTTATTTAAATTTAGTGTATCCTTTCGTAACTTCTGTGATATGACTGTGATTTTTCCTTTAAATAATAGTTATTTTTTATTATTTATATTTGTTTTAAGTTTATATTTGTTTTTGTTATTATTTATTTAAATTTTCTATTTATTATTTAATTCCAATGGTTACCACATTTCTATTTTATATAATTTATATTTAATAGTTTATATGATTGTCTTTAAATCAATGTATTTTATTTCATTAATTAATGTACTAATTGTATTGTGCATAATTTTTAATAAAATTTTACATGAAACACTTTATATTATTTTTTAATTGTATTTTAAATATTTCAATTTGTTAATTGTGTATGCATTTGATAGCCGTTTTTCATGCTTGAGAAACAGCTATTAAATGACTACACAATTGTCAAATGTAAGAAAATAGAGTAGAATTACAAAAATTAATTTTAAATTCTCCGCCAATTTTTGTTTTAAATATAGAAGGAATCTACGCTTAGTTCGCGAAAAATGTTGCTATCCGATGAGAGGCAGCACCGTCAACGTTATGCCAATTTTTAGTAAAGGATCGAACTCTCTCATCTTTCTTTCTCTATGGTATTTTCTATTTTTTTGAAAGGATGGAAAATGTTCCTAAATCTTACGGTTTAAAAGATATTTCGAGTTAAAAAAAACCCGTGAAAACTACTTTTTTCAATATTTTCCGAAAACGAATTTTTCATGGAAAACGACTATATACAAATGTTGGAAAAATGGGTAGAGAATACTTGGGGTGATTTTAAAGCAAAACAATATTACTCGATTTGAGAAAAGTGCGATAAACCGAAAAAAAAACGTTAATTTCGCTCATTTGACACTGACGATAATAATTTACGAGGTCGAAACGTCGATTTTCCGATCTGGCGTGTTCTTTCCATGGGATTCGGTACTTTTCCCGGTCAAAATCGACGATTGGCGGCTGTAAAAAAAATCTCTAATCAGTGAGTGAGTGAGTGAGCATTACAGTTTTATATACAGGGTGTCACTTACATGACGACTTTAATTTTAGGGAGTGATTCCTTGTCATATTTTATGAAGAAAACTTCATATAAACGTGTTTCCTAATTTGCTTCGTTTCCGAGTAACGGGGTGTTAAATGTTTAATGAAATAATCGTTTTTTCTAAAATTACTAAAAATTCTCTTCACTTATTTTGCTTAAACTTAGTGTTTTTGTTAGCAGTAAGGGGCTTATTGTAACGAAATTGGTTTATAAATTTTAATTCCAGTGGTGTCGCAGTAGAGGGTTACCTGTACGGTGGCGTACAATGATTTTCACTATAAATATCAATCAGGTAATCCTCTGCCGCGACGCCACAGGAATTAAAAATCAAAATCTAATTTCGTTACAAGAAACCTCTCATTACTGCTAACAAACACACTATCTTTAAGCAAAATAAGCGAAGAGAATTTTTAGTAATTCATGAAAAACCGACTATTTCATTAAACATTTAACACTCCGTTACTTGGAAACGAAGCAAATTAGGACACACGTGTATATAAACTTTTTTTCATAAAATATGACAATGAATCACTCCCTGAAATTAAAGTCATCATTTAAGTGACACCCTGTACATAGGGTTATTACGTAAAATTGTGTGAAATTGGACTGAAATGGGCAAGTACGCCTCTGACGTACTTGTAACCATTTCTTCTAAATTCGATTGCATGAGAGATAAATATGGACCAGTTGCACGAAAGCAGATCAATTGCGGTGTTTAGTAACACCTGATCAAAGTTAACGCTTTGCTAACTCTCGGTAATAGGACAAAAACCCCCGGACGTATACCCCCCGTAAATTTACCCCCTGAGTCAAGCACTCCCGAATATATACCCCATTTTCTTTAAAAAGAGAAAAAAGAAAAATTTTGAAAAGAGAAAAGATTTGAAAAATACAAATGCATATAATATTTAAAATAGCCTTATATTTAGGTTATATAATTAAAATGAGAGATTTTGAGCAATTCCATGAACATATTCAAAGATGTTGCATTCCTCATAGCTTTTTAATATATTGATTATCCGTGAATTGGAATCGGCGTACTTCTTTCTTTGCGTTTGTGATGGACGTCTAGCTAATATACTATATTTGAGTGCAGTTTATTTGTTAAATAGCCTGTTCCCATGGAGGAAGAAAGTTGAGAGAGTTCGATCCATTACTAAAAATTGGCAACGCGTAGATGGTGCCGCTGCTACCGGGGGGTCCCACTGACCTATGCGTAAAATATCGAGTAGATTTCTTCTATTAAGGGTGTTCAAAAAAATTCACAAAATGAAATGGGTGGTAGTATGGTCCAAAATAAGCAGAAAAGTCTTAATAAACAGGTGTCCGCAAATGAGCCGTTTGGGCAGTAGAACAATAGAAAGGGTGGCAATTTTAAAAGGAAAAAGGCCAATATCATCAGATGTATCGACATTTAAAATAAACGCTCAGACACGTCAATTTTAGTTTTTAGGGGGACACTTTCTTGTCCTAATTGCAGCAATTACGCATTAACCTTCGAGGGGTGGGGGTAACAACCCTTACAATTTTAAAAGGAAGGTACCAAGTGTTGTATATTTTTGAAAAGGTAATATTATGGAAAATTCAGTAATACCAATATTGTCTTGTCAAATTTCGATTTTAGCGCTCTTTTGATGGAAAAATAATCGTTACTCAAATCGTAATTCAAAGTATGACACCTTATTTGAAAGCTACATTAATTAGTAATTCAGTCACTCGTGGAGGTTTCTCCAAACCAAAGAAGTCCCAATTCCAACTTCCGCTGATAATCTCCGCAAACTAGTCCCTGGATTCTCCTCCACCCGTGTTAAAATTGCTTCATCTGACTCAGGGGTGGACACCGACCTTGGTCTCCCGGAATTATGGGACTGTTTGCCAAATTTACCGTTATCACGCAATCTTTGGTGAAGTCTTCCAAACACATGAACTGAACGGATATGGCGATTAGGGAAAGCGTCGACATACAGACGTAGCGCTTGTCAGTGCTTGTGTGCGCGAAATGCATGTCAGCTAATTCAATATCATAGTAAACAGGCATAGCGAAAATTTGTAAAATTGTAAAAAAGATTTAAAATTTTTATTTTCAACACTTTGTATTTCCGAAAGTATAAACATTCGGATAAGGAATGTTGGCACCAATGCTCACCATTTGACGTGTAGTATCTCCAGTTTTTGGATTTCCCATTGTTAATGAATCACCCTGAATATGATCTGTATATGACCTGTATATGATATGTATGTATCTAGATATCTAAATATGAACCTACTGTAGGATTTCATTCTATTTTCCATAGAATCTGTGGCCAGATTCCATAGAATCTTTTATATTGAATCTGTGTTTAGAATAAATGTAACCAAATACGTTTCGAAGGTGACTAAAATATTATTAATTCATTGGAATAATCGCCTCCAACAATCCTCGCAAGTAACTCATAATTTCCTGCATTATTTAAATTATTCCTCCGTTGAATTTATCATATATTAATAACATTAGAATCTAGACAAAATAGAGTGAAACCAAATTTACCAATACATCATGATACACAGTTAACGAAATGTAGTTTTTACGATCCAGTTGATCCAGTTGAATCTATGTGAATGATATGCAATGAATAAATTCATGTTCGCAGTTAAGATTTGTATAATTAAAAAACGCTAAAAGAGGTCAATTTTGTGTTTAAAATTGAATTTAGTAACTTAAAATTTCCATCCCTAACTGTAACTCCATCAGTATTAAACGTACCACATTTAAATTGTTAAAATATAAGGGTAGGCTTGTAACACCTTATTTGAAATAAAGTCATTTTTTTTAATTCTGTTGCTTAGTTTCATGATTAAAAATTTAATGAATTGTGTATTTTTGTTGATAGTATTAATAAATTTATTAATCAACAGAAGAAATTATTGGCCCGCATTCAGCGCCTCACTTTAACTTTAGCTTGACTCTAAAGTCACGTCCCGAGTCCCTAGTTACTCCATAACAACAATGTAAAACTGTTAAGTTAAGACGCGACTTTAGAGTCACTCTAAAGTTAAAGTGAGGCGATGAATACGGCCATTGTGTTTATTGTAATTTATTTACTATTTTCCTATTTTATTTCTGAGGGGATTTCAAGGGTGAAAATTTGAAGTTACCAAATTCGATTTAAAAACCAAAAATTTACCTAATTCAGAGTTTATTAATCATACAAATAATAACTGAGAAACAGAATTTATTTATTACATATGATCCAAACTATACATTCTGTACCGGTACTTAAAGAGAACACACCCTGTAGCTATGTATATTTAAAAATTAACGAGAAATCACAACAAACGTAATTTATACTTTATACTAATTTATACTTGGCTAGATAATTTAATACTGAGTACAATCAATATACGTATTACATTAGATTTCAGTTCCGAATTAGTCCGCAAACGCGTTCGTGAATTACCAATCACTCATATCAGATCAGTTAAAAAATATGACGAATCAAAAATTGCTAAGAAAATCTTTTTGGCATATCGAGTTGCTTCTGAAATTGAACGGGCTGCTACCGGGAGAAAGATATCAAATACTGTACTCGTTCTATGCCTATGGCCTGCTGTTCGTTTTCAAAATCCTATTCCCCATTCTGGGTTACACTTTCATTTACAAGGCGGATCCCAGCGAAAGGATGGTCTTGATTGGCAATTCTTTCGTCTACATAGAAGTGTTGGTGTTGGTATTCAAACACTGGCCCTTCATCACTGACCCGGATTTGACCAAAAGGCTCATGAATCAATGGAACGAGAATATTTTCAACACGGAAGTGGAAATTGATAAGCATATCATCGAGGAATCGATGCGACAACGTAAAATCAAACATAACGTGTATTTCTATACGGCTCTTTCAGCGCCTATTATGATGTTGATAAACGTCATACTTTCCGATCACAGCGATTTAAAATTGCCTATTTGGACGCCAGTAGATGTTTTAAATAGTACCAGTTGGTATGTTTGGACTAATGCCTTCGTTTTTTCAGGTAGATATTCAAACTAGATTATTAAATTTTTGCACCCAAATACTTGGTGTGCACAGAAAGTTAGTTCCATTTGATAATTTAAGAAAATCATTCTTAAGCTACATTTTTGTACATATGTCCCAAAATTTTGAAAGGTATTCCTGAGAGCGTGCGGCACAAGTTTTTGTATAAAATACGGTAACATTCGAAAATTAGCCTACGAAGAATGTATGAATCATTCATAAAATTTTACTATTTTTAACACCTTTAGATCGTGTGAACGTTGAGAAGATCATTATTAATTTTAATAAATACCTTGTTTGTTTTGGTCCGTTTTGAGGTTAAGTGGTACTCTCTGGTATAATAATGCATCAACTAAAATCACAGCAATTAGTATATTTGTAATATTTTTTTGTTTATCCCTTTTTCTTTAGTAGTTATAATTACTTATTACGTTACGTTTTAAGGTACTATAAGGTACTATAATTTCGTTGCGTCGTCCAGCGTCCAGCGTCCTAGCCGTCACGTTTGCACCATTTGGTTAAATCGTGTTAAATCTGCGTTTTGGTAGTAGTTTACTCGTTTACTTACGGGTTGTTAAGTTCTCAAAAATGGATCCAGAAACATTAGCGACAATTGTGTTAATAGAAGTTAATCATGATCTGACATTGTTGTTCTCCATACGGGATAAAACTCACAAAATGAATAGATCTAGAGGTCAAAAAGGATTTTACAGAGTTCTTGTTAAATCCTATTTTGATGTCGACGACGACAAATTTCGAGAGTTTTTAAGACAATAAAGAACAAATTAATATTGAGTTCTCATTGAGGCAGATTTGAAGAAGCAGTCCACAAATTCTACTAAACTACAAATTTCTCCAATTTTCGCGTATTTGATAGTCAATAAATTTGATAGTCTTTGATAGTCCTTATTTTCATGATCGTATAAACAAGGAACTTCCATAATCCGATAAATCAATAGTTCGTCCTCGTTAATTGTAAACTTTCTTGACATTTTGAAAAAAATCTAATTCAATACGGACCTCACTGAATCACTCGTACATGGAAATACACCCCTAGCCGTCGACCGTTCGCGTCTTGACATTTTTTTGAGCAGTCAAAACGTAGCCCGCAACGGCTAAACGCCGCGTACCTAAAACGAGCAGATTTAATGAAATCATTGTCATTATGAAACAATGTAGACGTGTTTGACGGCTGGACGTCACGGCGGACCGCGGACGCCGAAAGACGCAACGAAATTACACCTTTTAGTCTTATTAGATTTGTTATTATGGGTTTCGTCATATACTTGTATACTACCATACCGCTAATTAGGTTTTTTCCAGCAGTATGTTCAAATTATGCTTGTATCAGTATTGTATTCCGCATGCTCTGATGTGCACAAGTTCGTTATAAGATTGGAACATTTCTTTCCGGAAAACCTCGAGCAGTTGTTGGCTATCCTGTAATACGAAAATATTCTTTGAATTCATTTTCCGAGTATTGAGGAACAGTTTCCTCGATATAATTTTCATTTTTTTGGCATTTCTGCCTTTCTTCCAACAATTCTTCAAAATCGTCTTGTGATAATTCATCATAACTAATGTTCCTTTCACATTGTTACAACGCCAAAATTGGCCTTTCTGATAATTTCGCCTTTATCAGAACAAACGCTTGTTGTTCGCCCGCATATTACCATTCTAGACCTATTTGGTCAAACTTCTTAGTGGTTTTTCAAACACTGCAAAGTTTCGAATTAATTTCCGTAACTCACCAGTCCTAGAAATTGACTAACGTATCCTTACGTACAGGAAAATCTAACATCACCCAGGTTTCAAGGACGCCGCGTCGATCTCGTGAATACCTAATACTTCGCTGCAAAAGAGCACTTCCCCAGTTTCAGCTTCACGCTAGCTTTCTGTACCAACACCGATCCCAGAATCACCCAAATTCGGTCTCACCCGCCGTGGGACGTAGAAAATCATCAATATACGCCAACAGCTCACCACATCGGAAATTTTATCAATCACCCCGCCATACAATCCACACACATTCTAAAATCGCCATTATTTTCGGAATGTGACTCGTACACGCCGATTCGCTATCTCTTATCACGCCTGTAGCCAAGAGTTTGCACCTTTTCTCGAACCGCCGTTATCGCAGAACCTAAAATCTAAAACCAAAAACCTGAAACCAAAATCATCGTCGCCGAGAATACCTCGATAATACAATAATTACATATCGTTAACGTAGTTCAATTAATTCATCGCCTTTTTACGTCACCCCTGGTACCGCCTACATATATTTACGCCTGCAACACCTGCAGTAATCTGTAATTTTTCTCACATTAACGCCGGTCCGTTCAATCCCCCTGCAACATCTTCGCTGGGCAGATAGATTTCTGCTAGTCCAATGAACTACGCCTCGCTCCAACTCGTCGCCTAAATTAATTGCCTTAATTGAACGAATCCCGAGAAAGTGACCTTCACCTGGTTCACCGCCCCAGGTGAGACTACTACTCTTTATGCTGATAAAGATTGTGTGTGCGTATAGGACGGTTTCGGCTCAAGCCATAAATGTGGTCGCAGGGATACCTCCCATTCAACTACTGATAGAAGAGAGGGTTAGATTACACAGCATAAAGAAGATGGGGATACCCATTACAAACGAAATTAGAAAGACGGAGAGAATACAGACCATTAAATTATGGCAAGAAAGCTGGGATAATGAGACCACAGTAGCCCAGCATACAAAAAGTCTAATACCCAACATCGAGGAATGGCTGGACTGCGAGCACAGAAACCTGACCTATTACACAACACAATTCTTTAGTGGACATGGAAGTTTCGCCAAATACACAGAAAAAATTGGAAAACGGGAAAATGGACGGTGTGACTACTGTGAAGAAATAGACGATGTCGAACACACGATTTGCCACTGTAAAAGATGGAATACGGAGAGAGCAAAATTAGCAAGGGAGGTAAATGACCCTATTACATCTAGAAGTGTGGTAACCGCGATGTTACAGGACGAAAAGAAATGGAAAGCTATAACCGCAATTATTGGTAATATTCTGGAACGGAAAGAAATAGAGGAGAGGCTAACACAGCAGCGCTAAAAACTGTACCCAAACGACACGATGGTATGCCCGAGAGGACGATTTTTCCGTGTTGTTTGATTGAAGGTACGAAAGAAGAAGACAGGTTTTTTTAGTGGGTATTGAATCCTGAGCCCCACACTCCCCCGGCCGCCCAACACCAGGCCGGGGCGTGCGTAAATGCATTTTTTCCTGTCTTAAAAAAAAAAAAAAAAAAAAAAAAAAAAAAAAAAGGTGAGACTACTACAGTTTCCGCCAATTATACCTTGCACCTTGAATTCGGTACACCAAGAGTGATTCGCCTCATAAGCCCATCGATGTCCGGCTCTTTGGTGAGCCCCTCTTACCTCCACGTAGCACCATTTGTAAGACCATCGTAACGCCCAGTGCACCAATTAATTCTTGACGGATTGCTGATATTTGTCAATTAGTCAAGTCACCGCTTTCCGCCGATTGCAAAAATCAAAAACGATCAAATTTACAAATACGCCGCTTCTCTTTTACTCCAACTCCAGTATGTTATATCGCCGCAATAATAAAATGGGTACTTACAATTTAATCGCCTAAGCATTATGATCTTTGAAACACCTGAGCAAACCAAGGTCGCCCTTTTTTCCCCTGAGATCTTCCTCCTGAGAATCCTTCGCCTTTCGCCTCTTCGCACGCTGATCCTGATCCCACTTCTGACTGAAACGCCGGGGTTTTCTCAAAAACACTTTATTATCACAACACCAACGCGCCTAAGCCGCGTTTTCCGGCCATACATTTCACATGTATAAATAATTAATTATTTCGAAGTTATAACGATTAAAATATGTTCTTTTCTTAGCGTACTTACACGGGGTATTAGGACATTTTAGCGTTGATATGCTCATTGTCAGTTACATGTTGTACTGCGTAGCGCAGCTTAAACTCATCAAGTACAAGTTGGAGAATATGGAGCAATATTTGGATACAGATTTAACTACGCCTGATCAAATAGGTCTTGATGATCTGGTCCAAAAGAAAATTTATGCACAAATCACGCAATGTGTCAAACATTACGATGCTGTTTTTCGGTAAGTAAATAGGGATAATATTAAATGAGTGGTACCTATATTATTTCCAATAATAATATGAATATGATGATGAAAAGTCACTGATTTTCTACCAATAAGTATCTGACTCTTCTATTTCGCATGCGTGGTTTATGATTGAATGGTGTAATCAAATTTCCGATTTCCTGATGGAACAGTCTTTACATTTATTACATATTCACCAAATATCAAACAAAAACAACAAACAACATAACCTAATAATTAACCTATATTCGGAAATACAAATTAAACCCGAATTGAAAATGCGCTTGCGCCGAGTTTGTTGGAACGACTAATTTATGACTGCGCAGACTCCTGACGACCACCGGCAATTTCTAACTGTTGTAGAAACAAACCTATTATATTATTAGTTATATAAGTTTGTGTAGGTTAGTGTATAGTACGAAAGAGTAGGATAGAGTATCGAGCATACAGGGTGGCCCAGAACTCTCATGCCCCACTGGGAGATGCCTTATGGAAATGACAATGGATATACCAAAACTGCAGCCAAAAATATGAAAATGTTATTCATTTGCTACATAAAGAGGTTTAAAATTGACCAATCCCTGTAACAATTTACATACGCGAAAAAGACGTGAATTAGCTATACACCAATTTGACATTATTGAAAGATTCTATGCCCTTTTCAGTTTCAAGATTAACAAAAGCTGCCAAAATCAGCTGCGACTTTTTCTTAAAGATTTGCTTCCAAATCGATCATTCAGGAGCTCCATCGTGCTGATACCAAACCTACAGAAATTTTTATTGCTTCAAAAGTAGTTCGAATCGAATGATCGATTTTTTTATCAATTTGGATGCAAATCTTTGATCAATAGGCGCAGCTGATTTTGGCAGCTTTTGATTTAAACTTGAAAGTGAAACTGACATAGAATCCTTCAATAATGTCAAATTGGTGTATAGCTAAATCACGTCATTTTCGCGTATGTGATTGACTGGGATTGATCAATTTTAAACCTCTTTATGTACCAAATGAATAACTTTTTCATGATTTTGACTGTAGTTTTGGCATCTCCATTGTCGTTTTTATAAGGCATTTCCCGGTGGGGCGTGAGTTCTGGGCCACCCTGTATATGTATATTTTTTGGAGGGCACATTTAATTAAAATACTGCATTGAAAATTTCATTATCGAATATTTAACATTTTTTAATTTGCAAAGTGCATTAATTTATAGGGCGTTAAATGAATAGGTCCAATTGATATCAGTCATACTTTTAAGACGTTCTAAACTGTGAAAATTCAAGTTTATAGCAACTTTCAAACATTGTACGTTCTGGCTTTTTTCTAACTTTTAATGACTTGCTTCAGCAAGTTTTTTATATACTTATAATAATAATAATCTAAAATATTATTTTAATTTCAGATATGTCCAGGAGTTGGAAAACGTCTATTCCATGGGTGTATTTGTGCAATTTTTGGTTGCATCAATCATACTTTCGATTTGCCTATATAACATGTCACAGGTATGAGACTACATCGTTCCTTTCGTAAATTCACACCGAAGCCTTAGGGAGAGTATCATAAATAAATACTTACCAAAAGGATCCTAGAGCTAATTTGTACTAAAGTTATAATTATTCATCTTGTTTAATTGATTGATTCAATGAATTAATATTAAGCAATTACTACAAAATCATGTTTGTATGTACATACAGATGTATGAAAAAGATAATCTACGATTCTTACTATACAGGGTGTCTCATAAGTTGATACTTTTTTTTAACTGCTTATAGATCTTTTAATTCTAAGCAACTTTTTCAAGTAATTTTTTTAATATTCTGGAAAATAAAAAAGGTGGAAATTTATAGTTTCTTTAAATTTCGAATATTTTCCAAATTAATATTAGTTTGTAATATATATTTTTTTAAAAAACCTCTTATTTTCGGAAATAAGTTTGAAGTTGCAAGTTTGAAGTTTGAAATTAAAGTTGCTTTTGATTCAGTTGCTTTTTGAAATTAACTTTTGATTCAGTATTTCGATTTTTTTGAAATTTAACGCAGAAACGCTTCTTATCCTTCTGCATATGCCTTCAAAGCATGACCACCCAATCTTTATTAAGTGGGTTTTTAGGTGCTACCCTCTCCTAATTTTTTTTAAAACTGATAAAAGGCAGTGTGGTGTTCGCAGATAATTAACACACGAGAGATATTAATAAAGATTACATTAACATCAAAGTGAAAATACAACTAATTACCGACGTTTCTATAAACAATAACAAAACACGTATATGTAAGGGAAAGGTTTAACTACAGTCCAGTTTCAAATCTTTATAGAGTGACTCATCCGTCAATGTTATGAAAAATTGTGAATTTTATTTGAATTTAATGCTATTTACGAGTTTATTTAATATTCATACCGCGCCGCTGATATTTGAATTTGACATGACTCCTGCACCATTTTTCATAACATTGACGGATGAGTCACTTTATATTGATTTGAAACTGAACTGTAGTGTTAAAATATTGCCTTCTCCCAATAAAACACCCTGTATATTATACAAGGTTATTCACGCTATACGACTCGATCCATATCTCATTAACGGTCCATTTTATGAAAATTTTGTAAATATAACTATTATGTATTTCTAACTATCAAATTAAAATACATTTTTGATACCTTTATTTTGGTAAATTTTGAAAAAAATGACCTAAAAATCAAGATGGTGGATACTCCCCCTAGCGACCACTTTAGAGACTTAAAAATTATTTTCAGCATTTACTTTTGGCCGATTTAGTTATAAGATTTATTACCTCAACTCTCTATTCAGCGCCCGCGCCCTGATTAACTTTAGAATGGCTCTAAATACGTGTGTTAACCTTGACAGTTTTACATTGTTGTTATAGAGTAACTAGGGACTCGAGACGCCTATTTAGAGTCAGGTTAAAGTTAAACAGGGGCGCTGAGTACGGGCCATTGGGTGCAACGGAAACAGCTTCCATTAGTCCCATATATTGAGAAAAGAAATATGTAGGCTTGTAGGCTATTTTCTCAGGTAAATTGGTCACTCACCTGATGAACGTTGTCGGTTATAAATATAAAATATAACACAGCAAAACCCGAGTTGAGATATAATAATGCAAAAATAGACCAAATTCTTCGCGTGAACGGAGTACTTGGCTAATCGAGGTAGGCCTAGCAAAAAAGATAATTCCAATGTTTTGGCGAAATCCAAACTGGTGCTGACGCCATGTTTGTCTCTTAAACTATTAGCCGTTGTGACCTACAAGAATATGTTTGAGTTAAAATTAAAGTAGAGTCTACAAGAATATCTTCCAGGTGAAATTAAAGAAGGGAAAAAAGGAATAGGCAGAAGAAAATTACAGCTTGTAAATATCTGCCAATGGATAGGTTTGGACAAGTTGTTCCAAAAATCGTAGCCAGACAGTTAAAAATCGTAAAAAGTAGATAGTAGAAAGACGTAGACTTTCAATACATAATAAATGTCTAAGGATACGGATCCAAATCCCATAAATTCAATAAATCAAATGAACCGATTTAAAAATATACTATGTGGAATTTCTAGAGCAAAACTACCTAGTTTAAAACCACCTTTTTTTTTTTTTTTTTAAGGACAGGCCCCACGTTGGGCGCCAAGAATGTAACGTTAAATTTTCAAATCAAAATAAAACAAAATCTTAGAGGTTAGATCACAAATTTATTTGTTACATATATATAGATCTTGTGATAGATCTGGGCACTCAGCTGTACTCAGTGAAGAAGGAGTGGGTTAAATAATTTGTTCTAAAATTTAAATGGGCGCCAGTTGAGTTTGACAATGCCCTAAGTAGAAAGTTAAATCATATATTAATTCCCAACTCAACAAGGAATTAATTCTTATACATATATCGTAACGATAAATTCTATTAAGTGGTTAAACTAGTTTTTAACAGAAATAAAAGGGGTGAAGCCCTCATCAAGATGAAATATAAATATTGCTTTATAAAAATTCCACACTAATAAACTAAATTCGACTTACCGAAGACGTTCCGAGATGTGTCTCGGACAACACCAAGTTAAGGCAGAATTCGTTGGAAAATGTAGTTCAAACAGCATAAACATTACGGCTGGTTCCTCCAGTTGATCGATCAATTGGGAGAGTCCGGAACCGGAGAAAATAACTGTAATTACACAGGTTAATTAAAAAAAATTCGGCAAATCGAATATCACTAACAAACAAAGTTAAATGAAAAGACTAAATCTTAAATATTAAATCCGAATTTACAAGATAACTATACTTATTTGAATATAAAAAAATGAATGACTTCTCTATATTTAAAATTGTGTCCCATGTGGCGAACTCTCTGATGGTGGTTTTCGGAGTATCTCGAGTTGTATTTCGCAGTCCGTGTGATGCGTGAGAACGACAAATTTTCAGCACCGTCAAAGTACTCTTCCTCCGATCTCCTTCGAAGGTCCCTCGACGAATATCAAACTTCCAAACGAATCGACAAATTCGACAAATTGATAAATCGACAATTCAATGTGTCCTTCGACAAATCAATATGGCCTTCGATAAATTAATATGCCCCTCGATAAATCTCCTGGTGATGTAGGTCGTGGATAACACGTGGAATTTGGCCGGTGTCGTTAAATCCCGATAAACGGTTATAATCGCATTAAACAACAATATGAACCTCAAAAATGAGCACCAAGCCCCCACAATAAACGCAATTAACAAATTTGGACAGCTCGTTCAAAATCCGAGAGTCTCTCGATTAACAAAAATGTTAATAACACGAGGACTGTCCTCGACAACCGGTAGCCAAAATCCAAAAAGGGGCGAGCGGAACCAACATTCGTCCTAAATGCGGTCGAAAGTGTCAATTACTCTGATTACCAACCTTTAAATGATGAAAAGTCAAACGTCAATCACAACCACTAGAAGAATCTATTGTTTTAGACAAACGAACGGATCTTCAAGTATACTAACCTCAAATATTCAACACGTAAACAAATCCACGATGTAAACAAGAAAATGAGTGTAAATGTGGAATGAATGTTGTGAGTGACTTGGGGAAATTTAAGAACGTTACAATTTCCAACAAAAATCTTACTATCTCTTTTCTATCATCTATCTAAAATTAACTAGTGCGCATCCTAGTAATAAAATATTCCAACTGTCAAACTACATTGGAGGTGTTTATACCATATTATGCAGATTTTAAGGCAATATGGTAAATTTTGTCAATAATCTGGAACAAGATTTTTAATAGTAACAGTTGTTAAAGTGAGAAGGTTGCAATCCCACTATATCATTTTCTATTTTTCCTTCGTATATGAGACTAATGGAAGTTGTCTTTGTTGCACCCACAGACACTATATTGCGTACAAATTTGCACTTACCTGTACATAAGACACATAATTACCAGTAAGTGCATGCAATGCACACAAACTACTGCTATAATCAAAATGAATAAAGGACCTATTACTATTCCAGAGGTTTTTACGGCTTCGCCCATTGCAAATATTCCAGTTCCTACGCTGCCTCTCATAGTTTGAAACTGGACTGTAACATACATGATACAGTATGTATCATTAATACCGAAAAAATTCGAAAAAAATTAAATAACTTAAAAATGGTGCATTTTTACATCTACTTTCGGTATAACAGGATCTCACATATCGTTGAAAATATTTTAGAAAAACTCACAACATTGATTATACCTTACTCCTAAATTTTCAGATTCGCAACTCTTCAGGAACTCCGAAAAGTTCTAATGCACGGCTACCGTGGAAAACCCTATACAGAGTGTCCATGTTCGAGCGCTGCAAACAGTAGAAAGAGAGAATCAGTCGAACTGTAGAGAGGCGCGGCTTCGGCGCGATGAATCGGCGGACGAATGTAGCGCTCGACCTTAGACACAGTGTATAGTAGTATATACAGGGTGATTTTTTGAAAAGTATCCACCCCTGATATCTCCCCACACAAATTTTTCCTGTAAAAAATCCAAAACACGTCAATTTTATTTTTGAGGGGGACATCTAACCACCTTATTTTCATCTCGCTGTTCATCCCCCCTAGGCAGGGTGGTAACCCTTAAATCTTAAATGGGACTATGGGTCGAGATATACATGGTTTTGAGGGCGATTCAATTCTCTCTATACTGGTGCATCTAAAATGAAAATCTAACCATCCGTTCTCAAACTATGATTTTTTTAAGTCGGTGTAGTATAGTAGGTGTAGTAAAGTATACTATACTATACTAAAATTTACTAGTGTTTTTGGCTGAGTTGATAAAATACCTATAATATTATTATGATTTTTTTTAGTTGCAATCATTTGAAATGAATCTAGCATACGTTATGTCTTTCTTTATTCCCATGGTATATTTACTGTACTTATACTGCAACCTTGGTACCCTTGTGATGGAAGAGGTAAGGAATAAGCATGTATCTGAAACTGTACAATAACATTTACAATTCAGATTACAATAACAATATTAATTTTTTATAATAACAAGTTTTGTTCTCAGAGCACAACAATCGGAGATGCCATTCTCAGAAGTCAATGGTACAAATACGACATAAAGTCCAAAAGATCTCTAATGATTTTAATTGAACGATCAAAAAGACCCATTAAGTTTACGGCTGGTAAACTAATTGATTTGTCATTGGACACGTTTGTTGTCGTACGTAAAATTTAATATAATTATTTAAATGTGTTATTTAAGTGTTGTTTTAGGATTAGACAAACTTTAATCATTTTTATTAAGCCGGGCCTAGATTTTGAATTTTTTAGTGACTCGATAAATTGTTCTAAAAGTGTAGATTATCTGTGCAAAATATCAAATAATTATACTGAGTGATTCAACAGTTTAAATCCTTCAAGGAAATGGGTCAAATTCAAAAAACGCTCTGTAACTCAGTTATAAAGGGCATAAGACCCATACTATATGGGTTTTTTTATCCCCAATTTAAAGAATAGAATAGAAATAGAAGAATAAGAATAGAAAGAATAGAATAGAATAGAATAGAATCACCCTGTTTAATTTAACACCTTCGTAACACATTATCTTGTCTGATCCTATTTGATTGAAAATTCCTTATTTAATAAGATAGGATTTAATAAAATAAGATTTAATAAGATTTAAAAAGGCTAATTTTTCAGATGGTCAAACGAGCATATTCACTACTCGCTCTGCTTAAAAATGTCAATTAGATTCGGATAAAAAAGGAAACAGCCTGGCAAGAAATGGACCTTAATATTTTTCACATAATTTTAAGAATTTCTATATGCACTTAATTGTGTTTTAAATTGTGCAGTAGACAGTTATAAGAATCACATTTATTAGTATTGTAGTATTTGGAATGAGTTAAAAGTGTTTAATTTAAGTAAAAATTTATTTGTACGAGTTACATTACTTAATGGAAAAGAAAGTAATCTAATTAAAAGTTGTAGGCTATATTTTGCACGTTAAAATTATTAATGTACACTAAACAATGCCAAAAAAATACATAAATTTAAACATGTAGTAATTTATGGTACATTCCCTCCAAGAATTGAATAATATGAAAATAAATAAATCAAGTTAAATTTCTAATATCATTATATTCGTAACTAAGCAACAAAGTGAAAAAATATTGTCGGATGGAGATTCAAAATGCCTTTGAAATGAATTGTCATAACCCAAGTAACATTATAAACTGCTCTCGCAGCCGAAATAATTGGCGTGTGCATGGGAAAACGGGTATATCTAAAAAATATTAGTTTCGAGAAAAACACATTTGAAATTCTGTCATTAGATTAAGATTGCTAAAAAAACATAAATATGAAAATTAGCTGGTTTAGAGTCTCAGTTAAGTTATATTCCCTTTCCTATATAAATATTTGTCTTTTTTGAAACATTTGGTTCAATTAACTCATTTTTCACAATTTTCACATTGTTCATACATATTGCTTCAATTCACACCGCAACATGGTCGTTTCTATGAGTTGAACAAAGAAAGATTAATAAAATAACAGTTGATCTGGAATGAAGCACAGTGTACATACATTTTTTGAAAGTCTTAAAACTTTATAAGAGCTTTTCTACAGCTTCATAGCTCGTTGAGCTATATTGTCTTTTAAAAAAAACCTTAAAAACGTTCTTACAGCTACTACATACTTCTATAAAGCATAATAGCTTTTGTTGTTATCAGTTTTATATGACTTGTATTATAGTAACTATTTCCACAGACAAAAAGCATAATAAAAAAATAGAACATTAAAGTATCCTTTAACAACAGGAGACTGAAGGATGATATTATCGTCCAAATACCCCAGAATCTTTACCTCCTGTAGTCCAGCTCTGAACTTGTCCATTAACCGCTCAAATGTCGCAGAATTATTCCGGAGACCGAATGGCATCCTGGTATAACAAAAAGTCCCAAAACGACAGACAAAAGTTGTTTTGTCTGTTTTGTCTGGTTTGTCTAAGGTTGTCATTAATTGCGTTCCTTTGGTCGCATGCAAGATATCCTCTATGTGGGGTAAGGGATACCAAACCGCACAAGTTACTCAATTTAATCGCCTGTAATCAACAGATAGATGTACAATAGTCGGCAGACCTATCGCTAACCTTCAAAATCTTGCTCCCTTTCTAGAACACGCCTCCACTCTTATAGATAGTATAGAAGCAAGAGTACGGAATGAGCGATAGGTTCGCCGACCATAATACATGTCCGTTTTTTTAGGAACTAAAACTACTGAGGCGCCATAAGGAGATTCACACTGCTCGATAGTTCCTTCCTCCAATAGCCTTTCCAGTTCTTCCCGCAGTTACTTTTTCTTTAGTTCTAAGGTGGTACTGCAATAGGCAAATCATCCATCATCCAACACTCCAACCAACTCTTTACTTTTTATTTCCGAATTTGAAAAAGTCCCTCGCCGGGCAGAAATTTCACTCGAATGAAGAGGTTATCGCCGCCACAGAGGCTTACTTTGCAGGCCTTGAGAAAACTTATTTTTCAGACGGGTTAAAGAAGTTGGAACATTGCTGGATCAAGTGTATCGATCTCAAAGGAGACTATGTTGAAAAATAAATCGCCACTTTTCCAAAATTTTCGTTTTTCTTTTGTAGGCTAAGTATTTATCGGACCACTCTCGTACTTCTACAAAGTATAATAGCTTTTGTTGTTATCAGTTTTATATGACTTGTATTATAGTGACTATTTCCACAGACAAAAGGCATAATAAAAAAATAGAACATTAAAGTATCCTTTAACAACAGGAGACTGAAGGATGATATTATCGTCCAAATACCCCAGAATCTTTACCTCCTACAGTCCAGCTCTGAACTTGTCCGTTAACCGCTCAAATGTCGCAGAATTGTTCCGGAGACCGAATGGCATCCTGGTATAACGAAAAGTCCCAAAACGACAGGCAAAAGTTGTTTTGTCTGTTTTGTCTAAGGTTGTCATTAATTGCGTTCCTTTGGTCGCATGCAAGATATTCTCTATGTGGGGTAAGGGATACCAATCCGCACGGGTTACTCAATTTAATCGCCTGTAATCAACAGATGTACAATGGTCGGCAGAGGAGATTCCCACTGCTCGATAGTTCCTTCCTCCAATAGCCTTTCCAGTTCTTCCCGCAGTTGCTTTTTCTTCAGTTCTAAGGTGGTACTGCAATAGGCAAATCATCCATCATCCAACACTCCAACCAACTCTTTACTAGTTTCAAAATGGTCAGTATTATCTTCAATTAGCTGCGTGAGGCAATCGACTCGACTGGTTGAGAGTTATTCGTTTGGTCGGGGTCTCGTGTAAAAGCATAGCCGACATCTCGACATTTGCCGTAGTATCATGTAACCCTGAGATTCTCTAAAACAACATTAGCTTGTCTCAAGAAATCCGCGCCTAGTAGTGTTCGACTTTGCGTGTGCGACGAAGTGGATAGAAGAAGAAAAATTTTATTTAACTTACACTGTAACACTACCGTAGTTTCGAAAATTAAGGCAGAAAGTGACATTGTATTACCATCAAGAAGGGTAATCTGGATTTTCTTCGTCCCATAGGGAACTCTATCCTTCAGTAGTATTTCTTTTAGGGTATCTTTCAGAACATCGATCCCGCAATGCTACATTGGACACCAGAGACTAAGTACGAGTAACTGGAATGACCATTTACTTGTCGAACTATCCAGACCTAAATTCCTGACCCAATGAATTTGGAGACCACGTCACCAATGGAAACGGCATAACTCTTTCCAGTCTGCCCCTTGACTTTCCAATCTCCCGAATCCCCATAACCATAGCCCAAATTTCTTGGAACACCAGGGGTCCTCTATCGCAGACCACATCCTGTACACAAATACGTGTGCGGGATTTCTGGGCGACTAGTGCCACTTAGGACCCACCATCACCTCCAATCACCTACCTCTTTTTACCAATACAAACTTTTTCCCCTCATTCCCTTCACCCGAATTTCACACCTTTCGAAACCACCGAAAAACAGACTGGAAAAAATTACAAACCCTTATTTCCGCCAACCAGCTTTACTTTAGTCCACCCTCTTCCATCCCGGAAATCGAAACTCAGGCCCAACAAATTCACTCTCTCATATCTTCTGTCATCGGATTTTCCTCCCTTCCACCCCCACAACCACCATCAACACAAATAGCAGACCACTCCCCGCTTCTATCCTCACCCTAATCCGCCACAAACGTAAAATCTATAGGCAATTCGTCAAAATCCCAGAGCCCGATTTTAAAGACCGAATGGAGCCTCCTCAACGCCCTGATAAGGCGTTCGGTGGACCAGTTCAAAGAACGAAGGTTTTTCCACAGTTTTCTTCAAAAATACCGACGAAATACCTTTTCCAGTTGTATATTAGAAAGCATTAAATGTATTTCAGAATAGTCAGATTTATATCACGGTTATACAGGGTGGCACATTAGTATGGAATAGCTCAATATATCTGTTATTATAGAAGATATCAAAAAAACTTCATTACAGAAGTTGTAGATCTTTTTAAGCTGCATATTTTAAAATTAGTTACATTTATACAGAGAGTCCCGTTTTTCCGTAATAGATCAAACTTATACTTTTTTTAAATGGAACACCCTGTTTTTTATTTAAAAATTGAATTAAGTTCGTTTTCAGCTTTCCAAAAATATCATTTTGTATAACGTTATACTGAGTTGTTTAAAAGTTATGACCACTTTTCCACGAAAATCGTACTAAGTTTACCACTCTGTAGAAGCTAAATGGATTGAATTGAAAATAAATTTCAGGTTTCACAACATTGCAAATATCCTGAAAATGTACAAAATGAATATTTTTTGTTAATTTTAATCATACTGCTTACAGGGTGGATACAAACGCAAAAGTAACATTGTCTCTGTTAATTTAAATGGATCACCCTATATTTTATATCGTTAACAGGAAGTATTTTTGAAGCACTTTCATTCTTATTAACCATTCCCTATACCTAAAGTTAACACTTTTCGAGATATTCCAATTAAAAAAAACTAGAACGGAAAATTGAAGAAAAAAAATTAAGGTTTCTTTTTGATCGAAGTACACTTTACAGAAAGAAGTAAGAAACGTCAATTAAATACCATTTACCAATTTAAATACCAAAACGTCAAACGAATTTCAGATTAGTTAAATGTAGTTCAGAATAGCCAAATGTATTTCAGACAACGTCAAATGTATTTCAGAATAGTCAGATTTATTTCAGAAAGCGTCAAATGTATTTTAGATTAGTCATATGTAGTTCGGAATATATCAAATGTCGTTTAGAAAAGGTTAAAAACATTTCAGAATAGTCAAATGTAGTTCAGAAATCATTGTATATCAGAAAGCGTCAAATGCATTTCAGAATAGTCAGATTTATTTTAGAAAGTATCAAATGTATTTCAGAATAGTTAGATTTATTTCAGAAAGCATCAAATGTGTATCGGATTAGTTAAATGTAGTTCGGAAAGTGTCAAATGTAGTTTGGACTAGTGAAATATACAGTGCATTTCTTTAATGTCCCCCCCCTTTTTATTTTTGAACGATTTGCCATAGAAAAACAAATATTTCTAGAAAAATTGATATTAATTTGTTTGTATTCAGGTAATTAATAAATGTCCGCCATTTTGTAGCAGATGCAGATATTGACTTTATATTCCAGGGTTGTAGAGTATTTGTCAGGAGCTTCAAAATGATGTATCACTAGACCCCCCTTTCCATTTAAATTTATTTCCCAAGATGGCGCCCAGTCGCCATCTTGAAATTTTCATCTGTCAATTTTACTCCAAAATATAGTAATCATGCTTTAGTTTCATTATCCCAAATTTCAATTTTCTAAGTTGATCCGTTCAAAAAATAAAAGGGGGGGGGACATTAAAGAAATGCACTGTATACATATAAAGTGTATGTTGACTTTGTACACATTCAGCCATTTATTTCAGCCTGAGCTGAGTATGCACTCTCTTCCTCCCCCTTACCCTTTGGACATGATTTTCTGTTTTTGTTCGTTTTTCAACAAACTCAAAGAATGG